ACCAGCAGCACTATTTAAACTTATTGATAACACTTAAGCACCCAGCACTTTCATCTAATGTGATTTATGGAAACATCAGTTCCAGCAACAATAGTAAAATTTATGATGAGCACTTAGTGCATTTGTGTATTGCCAAGTAGAAAATGCACTTCTATTTTTAAGCCATGATTCTATTCCTCATCCCTCAGCTTCACTCCGATAATCCTCACAAGATAAGGTAGTAAAGGAAATGCTACTGATCATGGTAGAAATGGGAATATGCAACTATGAGGTAAGGAGAGTATTTATATCTGGATGCTTGGGAATCTTTGGTGGACACACATTAGGAAGCCTTATACTCAACTCAGTTTGGATAATGAATAAAATCATGAATTATTAAGACGCAAACTAGCACCTGAGAATGAACTTCAAGTCCAGAATTTTATTTCTGAGGAAATTATCTTACATTTTATTGCTTTCTCATCTAAAGCTAACCTTCTACAATCCCAAAGGACCCCACTGACTTGAAATTGGGAATTATATTTTCAACAAGTCTAGTTGACACCTGCTCAGAATAAGCTGAGTTACAGTCAAATGCACAGTGGAGGGATTGATAATGGAGAATCATTAATGGTCTTACACCACCCTCCAAATTTGTGTGTCCTCTTCTTGCTAGCAGAGAAGGGTTGCTGCCCGTTCGGCCTGGATCAGCCGAACCAGTAGTAGTGGCGGCGGGAGGTTCCGCCCACCCACCCAGATGCTTCTGCGTATGCACAGAAGTGTTGCAGGAATGTGGGAGTGCGCCCGAACCGGTAGTGAAAAAACTAGCAACCCACCTCTGCTTGCCCGATGCTCCCCCCAAAAAAGGTTTGCTGTTTTATTGTTTAAGGTGCCTAGTTCAGATGAAAATGAAAGGAACATGAAATACTCAACGTAAGATCTAAGTGGTTTTAAAATAGATATACTTTATAGTTACTATACATGAACTGTCCCTGTTGCACATGCTGTTTATCATTTGGTTTTATGGATCTGAAACCTTAAAATGTAGCTACTCAAAGGCCCGATCTGATAAATAAATATCAGTATTAGCCCCACACTAGGTAGATCAGACTAGAAACTCTACAGGAAGACCAGAACTACATTGTACTGAAATTGTCAATAATAATTGAATCTTGTCAGTCTGATGGTGCCCTACTTCCTCTCCTTCTTCTTACACTCCAGTGAATTAGGAATGCATTTGCATGGTCTCCCAGGACTTAAACAAACTAACAGGAGGGAAGTTTG